CTCCACAGCTTATTCAAACTTTCTTTTTTTCTGATGAAGAGTCCAGACCCGAAACATCAGCTTTCCTGCTCCTCTGATGCTGCCTGGCCTGCTGTGTTCATCCAGCTCTACATCTTGTTATCTCAGACTCCAGCATCGGCAGTTCCTACTATCTCCTTCACATTTTTACAGTGATTTTCATGCCCATTATTCTTCCCTAAGGCCAATCCTGAAGAGTATTCACTTTAGTAACTTAGGAGATGCAGCAGCTGATTCGTGCACAGCAAGCTCCCATGATCAGCCAAGTGTTGGAAAGAGAAAATTGTCATCCCATTGCTCTGTCAAAGACTAAACAAGGCTTAAGTTTCTTTGTCTAGGCATTTATTCATGCATGCATGGAAGGTGGACTCAAAGGTGCTGTGCAACTTCCCAATTTGCAATGATTTTATATTATTTTACAGATAACATTCATCCCCTTGTGTGGTAGTGTACCTACCCCTGGGCCAGGAGGCTCGGGTTCAGGTCCCACCTGCTCTGGAGGTGTGCAATAACATCTCTGGACTGGTTGATTAGAAAAATAGGGTAAATTAGAAAAAAATTCCAATAAACATTCTTGTCTCTAAACAACATTCCACTTTACTTTCCAGGTTAGTACATGTGATTATGTGATCCAATCATATTGAAATTTGTACACACGACTATAATATCAAATTGTTACGTGTTCACATCTATGGACTTTCAGTATGGACTTTGTAATTATCCAAACTGTTTACTGTCCTTTACCTTCTGTCAGTGATAATGACCAGATAATCTGTTTTATGATATTGATTTGATGTTTGCCAGTGCACTGGGGACAACTCCCTGCTCTCCTTTGAAGTAAATGCCGTGGGACCCTTAACATCCACCTGAAAGGACTGGGATTGGTTGGAGGGGGGGCATCCTCAGTTTACAGCTAATGTGCAGGAGGGCATCTCCCAGTGTGTAGCACTCTCTCAGACCTGTGCTGGAGTGTCAGTTTAGATTCATTTAATCCTGTATCCCTTCAGGCATTTTTGCTTAATTTAAAGTTCTTCTGATGTCTCATTGCCAAGCTGGGAAAGCCAAGTCTGTACAATCTGTGCTCCTGACTTAAACTCCTAGTAAAAATGCTCAGCTTGCGCTCAGTCTGTTGGAAAAGTCAGCTCTCTTTCTAGGTCATTTCCTAAAAAATCTGCCCAGGCCTTTTACGTAGACAAGAAGTACTATTTGGCATCATTCAATCTTGCCATGTCAGGAGTTTCACTGTATTGGCATTGGCTACTCTCCAACACTTGAGAATGACTTAAGTGGCACTATACAGATGGTTGAAGTTAACATCTCCTGGGTATTGATTTAAAGAGATACTCTGATCCTGTTTTTAAGGATTTGCTTTTGGGAGTCACTGGAAATTTGTTACCTGTTGGTACTAGCCAGAGAGCAGTTAAGAGTCAACCACATTGCTGGGGTGTGGAGTCACATATAGATGACAGATAAGTAAGTACAGCTTCTCCTAGGGATATTAGTGAACCAGATGGGTTTTTAATAACAATAGATGCTGTAGTGATTGTAATCAGGTCAGATAGGTGGACCTCACAGAATGTGAGTTCCCTGATTGGAGCTGTTAATCTGGTCCAATCAAGGAGCCCTGGCTGACAGATATAAACAGGAGTGCCGGAGGTTCTGTTCAGTCTGAGAGCTGGCTCTGAGGGAGCTGGACCAATGTCACATACTATGTATGCATAAATAAGGGGTGACTTAGTGATGAGATACTGGCCTCTGAGGAGTTATTTCAGTTGCCATTAGGCTAGTTTTTAAATTCCAGATTCTTATTGAATTCAAATTTCACCACCATGCTGGGATTTAAATGTCACAGTGGGTACATGAATCCATGTCCCCAAAGCATTAGCCTGGAGTTTTGGATTACCAGTCCAGTGACATTATCACTACATTACCCTATCCCTATAGGATTTCCTCAGGAAAATGGAACTGAAGAGTTCCAGCTGAAGAGCCAGCACCAACACTGGCTTGATGGGCCGAGTATCCTCCTTCTACAATGCAATCTCTGTGACCCAAAAAGAAATGATACATTATCTCACTTTTCGAGCTGCGAGCCTCAGGCAGTTGGCTACTCTGCAAATTAGGAATATGATCCGAAAACTGATTAATACCTGTAGTTGAAGTGAAATGATTTATAGAGTCATAGTGTTATAGAGTCATACAGCATAGAAACAGACCCTTCGGTCCAACCAGTCCGTGCCGACCATGTTCCCAAACTAAACTAGTCCTACCTGTCTGCATGTGGCCCATATCCCCCCAAACCTTTTCTATTCATGAGCCTATCCAAATGTTTTTTAATTGTTGTAACTGAACCTGCATCCACCACTTCCTCTTGCAGTTCATTCCACCCACTAATCACTCTGTGTAAAAAAGTTGCCCCTCGTGTCCCTTTTAAATCTTTCTCCTCTCTCCTTAAAAATATGGCCTCTGGCTTTGAACTTCTCCACCCTAGGGAAAAGACATTTGCTATTCACCTTATCTATGCCCCTCATGATTTTATAGACCTCAATAAAGTCACCCCTCAACCTCCCACATTCCAGTGAAAAAAGTCCCAGTCTTTCCAGTCTATTTTTATATCTCAAACCCTCTATTCCCGGCACATCCTGGTAAATTCTTTTTAATAGTACCCGCAAAATTAAGAACAGAATTCAGACCTAGCTTGCTTATTATAGGCAGAACGTTAGGTGAAAGAGAGAATTCATTAAACTGCATTTTTATCAAAATACTTGAATGCGCATTGCAAATTCAGGACTTCCCAATATGCTTTAATGCCAATCAATGTACCTTTCGAGGTGCAGTCTGCTTCTGATTTGGTTGTATCGGCATCATGGATTAACATCTGTGTTCTGACAGCGTTTATGTGGTTAGCTAAAAATAAAAGCAAGATACTGTGATTGCTAGAAATCTGCAATAAAAACTGAAAGCTCTGGGGAAATTCAGCAGGTTTAGCAGCATCTGTGGAGAGAGAAAAGCAGAGTTAATGCTTTGCATCTCATATACATCCCAAATTGGAGAGAATCACATTGGACTTGAAACATTAACTCTGTTTCTGTCTCCACAGATTCTGTCAGACCTGCTGAGTTTCTACAGCATTTTCTGGTTTCTTATAAGTGGTGAGCACCAGTTGACCTGACCGTGACCTGCTGAGATGGTCATCCTGATAATGGAAATCTTACATCCAGTGACAGCTCTTGAAGATTTCACTGTTCCTGTGATCTTTGAAATGCAGCCACCATTATGTGCATAGCAAACTCCCAACTACAGCAACCAGTTATAGAGTCATAGGGTTTTACAGCTCGGAAACAGACCCTTCGGTCCAACTCATCCATGCAGACCAGATAGCCTAAATTAATCTGGTCCCATTTGCCTGCATTTGGCCCATTATCCCTCTAAACCCTTCCTATGTGTCCCCATCCAGATGCCTTTTAAATGTTGTAATTGTGCCAGCCTCCACCACTTCCTCTGGCAGCTCATTCCATACACGCACGACCCTCTGTGTGAAAAAGTTGCCCCTGAGGTCCCTTTTAGATCTTTCCCCTCTCACCTTAAACCTGTGCCCTCTAGTTCTGGACTCACCTATCCTGGGAAAAAGACCATGGCTATCCACCCTATCCATGCCCCTCATGATTTGATAAACCTTTATAAAGTTACATGACTGGATATCCCGGAGGGAGAAATACTGGGCGGGACAGTGGGAAGAATTTCACTGCTTTTCTTTGAGATGAGGTCTGTTTTACCTGCACTTCAGAACTGCACTGGGAGTGTCAGGTCAGACAGTGCTCTCACTAAAACAGGGTCATTTCAGTCAGTTTAGCTTTTGAGATGGGCTAACGGAACTACAATTATTGGATGGTCTTTGTGTCCCGATTCCTTCACTGCAGAACCACTAACATATTGAAGCAAGGTACTGGCGATCTGAAATAGAAACAGAAAGTACTGAAGAAACTCAGAAGGTGTAGGAGTAATAAGAGATAACACAGCGTGCAGCTGGAGGAACACAGCGGGCCAGGCAGCATCAGAGGAGCAGGAAAGTTGACGTTTTGGGTCGGGACCCTTCTTCTGAATGTTTGATGAGGGGAGCAGAGTTAATATTTCACATCCAAGTCTTCTTCAGGACTTCACTGTTGTTGTTCTTAAAACAGAGCTAGAAATATGTTTGAGTATCTAATTGATCTATTCCTGTTCCTAATTTTTTGAGACATGTTCAGAATCATGAAGGGCTTTTCAGAAAGCAGATAAAGAGAAACTGCTTATATTAGTTTCCACGGACAGGTCTGTAACCAAATGACACAGATTTAAGATCACTGGCAAAATAAAATCAAGGAGTAATTTTTTTTAAATGCCAAGATTTGTAAATGGCCTGGAAAATACTGCCTGAAAGGACGGTGGAAACAACAGACTCAATATGAATGTTCTAAACTCAACCAGATAAATAACTGAAGAAAGAATCTTAGGGCAACGGAGCGGGATTAATTGGATAAGACAAGAGAGTGATGTTCCCAATGACCAGGGAGTCCAGACCGAAAGTTATAGGCTAAGGATACAGGGTAGGCCATTTAGGACTGAGATGAGGAGAAAATTCTTCACCCAGAGAGCGGTGAGCCTGTGGAATTCTGTACCACAGGAAGTCGTTGAGGCCAAAACATTGAATGTTTTCAAGAATTAGTCACTGTTCTCAGGGCTGAAGAGATCAAAGAGAATGAGGAGAAAGTAGGAACAGGGGACCAAGTTGGATGATCAGCCGTGATCATATTGAATGGCAGAGCAAGGTCGAAGGGCCTACTCCTCCTAATTTGTATTTCTGTAGCTCCTTCAACCCCCAGCACAGGATAGATGGGATGAACGGCCTCCAACTGTGCTGTGTGATCCTATGATTGTATATTGTGCTCACTTTCACAGGCAGGAGCAGGATACGCCTGAGATCCCGTCTGTCCATCGCCCAGGGAGACGATGTGGTCGCAGAGCTCAGAAGAATATCTGCCTGTCCCCTAGTGACCCATACTCAGGAATCCTTCACTCAGGTATTTAACAATTCGTTCAAACTTCCAAGATTAAAACAGTCGATAAAACTTTAGCTTGAAGAGCTTTCTAAAACTGCTGGGAAAACCTCAGATTCACCTTTAAAATCAATCAATTCACAGAAGTTTTCACACAATGTGAAATGTGAAGTAATGTTGGAGGAAAGTTTGGGCTATGTGAATAAACAATAAATTGTATTGTTTTGAGAGGTGTTCAGGAGCAGATGGACATTGGACTGAAAGTCCACAGATTTCTGAAGGTGGCTTGACAGATAGATTAAGGTGGTTCAAACGGGGAAAGGCTTCGGAAACCTGAAGTACAAAGGGACTTAGGAGTCACAGTTCAGGATTCACTGAAGGTTAACATGCAGGTTAATTTGGCAATCAGGAAGGCAAAGCAGTGTTAGCATTCATTTCAAGAGGGCTAGAATACAATAGCCGAGATATGCTGCTGAGGCTGTATAAGGCTCTGGTCAGATCACATTTGGAATATTCTGAGCAGTTTTGGGCCTTGCATTTAAGGATGGATGTACTGGCGTTGGAGGGGGTCCAGGTGAAGGTCTGTCATATGAGGAGCGGTTGAGGACTCTGGGTCTGTCCTTGATAGAGTTTGGAAGGATGAGGGGGATCTGATTGAAACTTACAGAAGACTGAGAGGCTTGGATAGAGTGGACGCGGAGAAGATGTTTCCACTATTAGGACAGACTAGCACCCAAGAGCACAGCCTCAGATTGAAGGGATGACCCTTTAGAACTGAGATGAGGAGGAATTTCTTCAGCTAGAGGGTGGTAAATTTGAGAAACTAATTACTGCAGAGGGCTATAGAGGCCAAGTCATTGAGTGTCCTCTTTAAGAGAGAGATAGGTAGGTTAGGGGATCATGTCTACAGGGAGAAGGCAGGAGAAGGTTGATGAACACATCAGCCATGATCAAATAGCAGAGCAGACCCAGTGGGCTGAATGGCCTAATTCAATTCCTATGTCTTACAGTTTTATGATCAGGAAGGCAAGTGGAGTATTTAGCTTAATTAACTGAGAAATTGAATGAAAGTGTTGGGAGAGCTTCCTGGAACTGTATAAAACACAAGTCAGGCTACAGCTGGAGTACTGCCTCGACCTGTGGTCACTGAGTTTTGGGATCATTATAATTGTGTGAGAGTAGCTGCAGAAGATGTTGCCTGGACTGGAGAATCTTAGTTATGGGGCTGGATTGAATAGACCGGGATTGTTTTCCTTGGAAAGGATGAGACTGAGGGAAGTGAGTCTGAAGGGGTTAATATTGAGGAGTGCTGTAAGCACCATTCACTACCATAATTTTACATTGAGGTGTGGACAGAATGGCAAAACAAAGGATTGAGATCTAACATCTAGTCCTCGTCAGTCTCTCTAACAATGTCCATCATGCCATGGTAGCCTGTAATTAGTTGTTAACATGCAATGTTATTAAAATGTTGACAACATGGCAGAGGCAGATAGATACTTGTCAGACAAAAGAATCGAGGTTATCATAGGTCCGAATGTGGAATATGGGAAATAACCAGATCAGCCATGAGCTTATTGACTGGCAGAATAGGTTTGAAGGGCTGAATGGCTTACTCCTGCTCCTAATTCACATGTTCAGTGTCAATTATAGGCGATGGCCTAGTGGTATAATCGCTGGACTGTTAATCCAGGAGACCTAGATAATTTTTTGGGGACCCGGGTTCGAATCCTCCCACGCAGATGGTGGAATTTGAATTCAATAAAATATCTGGAATTAAGAATCTAATGATGACCATAAATCCAGTGGTGATTGTCGGAAAAACCCATCTGGTTCACTAATGTCCTTTAGAGAAGCAAACTGCCATCCTTAGCTGGTCTGGCCTACATGTGACTCCAGACCCACAGCCATGTGGTTGACTCTTAACTGCCCTCTGGGCAATTAGGGATGGGCAATAAATGCTGCCAGCAACACCCTCATCCTGTGAATGAATAAAGAAAAAAAATGATATCAAGTTAACTACAAGCCACTCTTATGGTTAGGCCAAGGAAATGGCTTTCCTCTATCACACTAGACCGTGTCAGGCCTGGAGATCCCGACATTTAAAGACGATGGTGGGAATAACTTCATTATGAGCAGCTAATCACACTGTAAGGTGAGCTGACAACACCATATGACATGGTGAGCAGCAGCGTGGATTTAACTTGACTGTACAAATGACATGGTGAGCAACGGTGTGGATCTGATTTGACTGCATGTATGACAGTGGTGTGAGATCTTCAGACTCAGTTTTAAGTTGCCGGCTTGTACAATACAGTCAGCAATAGGGAAGTGATGAAGTTAGAAGAAATCCTCGTGGAAATCCTCAATGCGTAAGAACACTCCAGCAAGTGGTGAAAGCATTTGAGACCTGGTAAGAGACATACTGCAACAGGAGAGTGAGCAACTCCTTGGAGAAAGATAATTAATAACTCCAAAGTTGATACAGGCTGCATCACGAGGCAGTGCTCTGTAACCCTCAGTCAGAGGTCAGTGGTGAGTAAACAGAACTCAGAAGCTGTGCAGGTAAAGCTTAAAATCCCTGGTGAGCCAGAGCAGTAATCCAGGCTAGAAAAGTTAAAAGTTAAAAATGCCTGACCGGTGAATCTGACATCAGTGGTGGGTAAGTTGTTGAAGGGGATTCAGAGGGACAGGATCGACATGTAGTTGGAGAGACAGGAACTGATTAGGGATAGTCAGCATAGCCTCGTGTTTTTTTTTTGAGGATGTAACCAAAAAGATTGTTGACGGCAGAGCGGTAGATGTAGTTTATATGGATTTTAGTAAACCCTTTGACAAGGTTCCGTACGGTAGACTAATTAATAAAGTTAGATCACCTGGGATTCAGGGAGAGCTTGCCAACTGGATACAAAATTGGCTTGACAGTAGGAGGCGGAGGGGAGGTGGTGGTGGGTTGTTTTTCAGACTGGAGGCCTGTGAGCAGCAGCGTTCCATAGGGATCAGTGTTGGGTCCACTTTTGTTTGTCGTTTATATAAACAATTTGGATGACAATATAGGAGGCATGCTTACTATGTTTGTAGATGACACCAAAATTGGTGGTATAGTCAACAGTGAAGAAGGTTAATTAAGATTGCAAAAAGATCTTGATCAATTGGGCCAATGAGCTGAGGAGTGGCATATGGAGTTTAATTTGGATAATTGCGAGTTATTGCATTTTGGTAAAACAAACAAGGGCAGGACTTGTACAGTTAATGGTTGGGCCCTGGGTAGAGTTGTCGAACAGACAGACTGAGGGATTCAGGTGAATAGTTCTTTGAAAGTTGCATCACAGGTAAGACGGTGGTTAAAAGTGTGTTTAGCACGCTTGCCTTCATTGCTCAGACCATTGAGTATAGGAGTTGGGACATCATTTTGTACAGGACGTTGATGAGGTGTCTTCCAGAGTACTGTGTGCAGTTCTGGTTGGCCTGCTATGGGAAGAATATTATTGAATTGGAAAAGGTTCAGAAAAGATTTACCAGGATGTTGCTCGGACTGGAGGGTTGGAGTTAGAAAGAGAGGCTGGAAAGGCCGGGACTTTTTTTCACTGGCGTATAGGAGGTTGAGGGTGACCATAAGGGCATTGGTAAGGTGAATTGAAAATGTTTTTTCCCTAAGGTAGGAGAGTTCAAAACAAGGGGGCATATATTTAAAGTGAGAAGAAAAAGATTTGAATTGGACATGACGGGTGAATATCTCACACAGACGGTGGTTTCTATGTGGAATAAACTGCCAGAGGAAGCAGCAGATGCAGATACAGTTATAATATTTAAAAGATGTTTGGACAGGTACATGAATGGGATAGGTTTAGAGGGATATGGGCCAAAGTTTGGGAAACTTGGTCAGCATGGACAAGTTGGACTGAAAGGTCTGTTTCTATGCTGCATGTCTCTATGACTATATCATGCATTTTGTCATGAGCAGGCACCACAAGGTATGATTCAGAATAGAGAATGAAGGGTAACTGGAGGAATACTAATTTGAGATTGCAGACTGGCAGGACATGAGAGGCCAGCAATTGCATTGATAATACTGGGCAGACTGAGAGATCTTCAGCCAAATTCTGAGCCACCGTGCTGCCCCTCTGAAGGGTCACTTGAGAGGGTGGTTGGGGCCTCAGTTTAACATCTCATCTGAGTCATCGTTCCTCCAGCAATGTAGCCTACGCTCAGTACTGCGCTGGTGTCCTCCTGGAGTAGGGCTTGAACCCACGGTTAGGAGGTAGCTGCAGTACTGAGGGAGTGCTGCATAGTTTTCAACTAAGACATTAAACCCCAGCCTGGTCTGCTGTTATAGGTATTCCGTGGCACAAAGATCGGCACGGGTTGGAAGTGGCCTGTTGATGGAGGGATTTTACTAGCTTCCTGGTCTGTATTTACCCCTTGATCCACATCATTTTATACAGGCCAGCTAGTCATTGCTGTCTTTTGGAGTTTGTTCTGGTGTTCTATACTATCATTTCAATGATCATGGTCTAAGAATAAATCACTTGACAGAATTGATTGACCCCGTGTGTTAGTGTATTTAACACAGTAAAAACACATTAAAGTTACAAAGTAGAAGTTACAATGAGCTGAGTGATTTCTGTAAGGGCAGTTGGCAGATCCACAACAGATAAATTACCAGGCAGAGTCACAACATTGGATACATATGGCACATGGACTGCTTAAACATGAATTGTCATAAAGGTAAGGCACACACACAACAAACAGAACACTGATTTGTCAAAAAATATTCAATTGGCATCTAAGAGCTCTTGTTGAGGGTCAGTTAGCTTAGTTGGCTGGTCTGCAATATAGTGTAACACCAACAAGGGTTCAATGCCTGCGCCAGCTGATGTTACAATGAAGGGCTCGCCTTCTCAATCTTTCCCCTCGTCTAAGGTATGGTGACCCTCAGGTTAAACCACCATTAGTCATCTTTCTCTACTTAGACAGTAGCCCTTAGTCCACTAGGACTATAGTGACATTCCCTTTAAGGGCTTTAGGACATTGTGTGAAAGGGATGATTTACAAGTTTTTTTTCAAGAAACAAGAAGTAAAACTGACTCTGGCTGCATGCGTTGGCATTTTGTTTCAGTCCAATCGAGAGGGAACCAGTCCTGTCTAGTTAAATAGGACTATCAGTTCAGTACGGTATTAAACTGAGCAACAGCTCTATGCAGCCACTGCCACCTGGTGGATTTGAAAAGACATTACATCAAGACAACCTATTAATTCATGTTTAAATTACAGATGGTGGCCTTAATCAAGTACCTACCTTACAAATGAATAAGGAAGCTATAGACATAAAGTAAACACAAACAAACAATTGGGAGTCAGGTTTAAGGGTTCTCTGTGGGGAATTATCATGTTGCATTATAAATAGGTACTTCTGGTTACCAAAAGTAAGGTTTAAAATCACAGAAAAGGACTACTGCAGTCCATGTGGTGTAGATATACCCACAGCGAAGTTAGGAGGAGATTTCAAGGACTTTGACCCAGTGACAGAGGACAAACAGCAATATAGTTCCAAATCAGAATGGAGGTTTGGAGGGGAACTTGCACACAGTGCTACTCCCATGCATCTGCTGCCCCTGTCCTTCTCAGCAGGCAAAGTTGCGGGTTTGAAAGGTTGTACTAAAGAAACCTTGTGGAATTATCACATTGCATTTTGTAAGTTGATCCTGCCCACTTTTTTTTTTTACTTTCTGAAATACCCTCCTCAATCTTCTGCATCTCCTTCTCTCCTTGAAACAAAGCTTGGTGGTTAACTGTCAGTCATCATTAACTGGTGCATTCCCTATGCCAATACCTCTAACAATCACAGTCCACTTGCCAACCAATTAGCACTGTCCTCTCATCTAATATAAATGGTGTTTACCCTTTACTTCGGCGTTTCTTCTGAATTGTCCTGACATGTACAAGTAGCAAAACATCGACAAAATGGCAGCAATACTTAAGTATTGAAGACTTTCTTTGAAACATACCTCCTTGACAAAGCTTGTGATTCACCTGTCCCAATGTGAAATGCTTGGGTTTCATCTGATAATGCTCCTGTGAAGCCCCATGGGACATTTTTTAACTGTCAAAAGGCTACACTAATGCACATTGTTGTTGCAATCAATAAAAGGTAAATCTGTCTATCGTGCCTTATGGAGGAGGGCCAAGGGAGAGAGAATTATTTACCTTCTTATCTCGAACTCCAGTCTAGTGTTCCATGAGTTGCCCTCACCTTTGGTTATGCTGATGCAGGAGTGGGTAAACAATTTGACCTTTGAATAATGAAATTGAAGTTATGAGGGTCAAGGATACAGTTAGGTGGGAAACATTACCACCAGCAACAACAACTTGCATTTATCTAGTGCCTGCTTCAAGTTTAATTGCCCCATGGTGCTTTGCAGGGGTGCTCGTCAAATAAAATCTGACACTGAGCTGCACAACAGGGTATTAGAACATGGGCATATAAGCTTGGCTGAAGAGTTAGGTTTTAAGGAGTTGAAGATGATAGCTTGTGATAAGGTTTCCAACATCATCCTCAGTCAACGCTTCTTGTCCAGGACCTCAGTGAAGTTTTACACTGAAGAAGGAGGCCATTTGGCCTGTCATGAACTTGCTGGTTCTCTAAGCATTATGCCTTAGGGCCAGTCTCCTGCCTTTTCCCCATAATCCTGCTCATCATTTTGGTTGAAATGATCGTCCAACACCCTCTCGAAGGCCTCACATGAACCTGCTTCCATTACACTTCCAGGCAGCACATACCAGACCTCAACAAAACGCCTCGTAAAAAAATTTTTTTGCTCTCACATTATATTTGTTTCTTTGGCAAAATGTTTCAAATCCTTGTCCTCTGGTTCTCAATTCATTTGTGAGCAGGAACAGTTTCCCATTATCCAACCTCTACAGACCCCTCCTGATATTGAGAACATCTACGACTTCTCATCTCCAGGGAAAGTTATCCCAATTTCTTCAATCTATTCTCTTAGCTGAAAAGTCTCACCCCAGAACCATTCTCTGTAACCTCTGGCAGCACTGCCCCCAGTGCATACACTTCCTTGCTATAGTGTGGTGCTCAGTACACAGTGTTCCAGCTGAGATCTATCCAGTGTCTTTTACAAGTTCAGCATAATTTCCATGCTCTTTGATTCTATGCCCCTATTATTGAAGCTTAGAATACCCTATGCATGATGAACTGCTCTTTAACAACTTCTGCACATTTCTGCCCAGGTCTTTCTGCTCCTCGACAGCCTTTAGAATGGTACCCTTCATTTTACACTATCGCTCCATATCCTTTGGACCAAAATGTATCACCTCACACTTCTCCATTTTGAACTTCATTTGCCAACTATCCATCCACTCCACCAACCTGCCTGTGTCCTTCTGGAGTTCTGCACTGCCTTTCTCACAGCTTACAATGCTCCAAAGTTTTAAATCATATACAAATTTTGAACTTGTCCTCTGCAAACCAAGATCCAGATCATTAATATCCATCAGGAGAAGCAAAAGTCCCAATACTGAGCCCTGGGAAGCTCCACTACAGACCTTCCTCCAGCTCAAAAAACACCCATTAATCATTGATCTGTTTCCTATAACAGCCAATTTTGTATCTACATTGCTACTGTCCTTCATTCTTTGGCACTGTTTTGAATGTCTAAAGAATGATCCTTGTACACTACATCAATAACATTGCCCTCCTGTCATCTCTTTGAAAAACTTCAGCTGGTTCTTCAGGAATGATATTCATTTCACACATCCAGGCCAGCTCTTTCTAATTAACCCATATGTTTTCATGTGATTGTAAATCCTATCCTAAATAACTGTTTCCAGGTGTTTTCCCATCACTGAAGGTAAACGGGCTTGTCTATAATTGCTGGGCCTATCTACAATCTCTGTTTGAACAAGGCTCAAATGTTTGTAGTTCTCCAGTCCTCTGGTACCACCCCCAGATCAAGGGAGATTGAAAGATAATTGCCAGTACATGTGCTGTTTCTACTCACACTTCCTTTAATATGCTTGGTTATATCTTTCTGGTGCCTTATTAACTTCTAAGTATCAATAGCTTATCCAATGCCACCTCCTTATCAATGTTAAACCCTTTTGATTTCCTCCTCAGTCACCATGATCCAGACAGCACCTATCTTGTAAGACAGATGCAAATTATTCATTTAACACCTCAGCTATGCTTCTTTTTGGTCCTTAATCAACATTACTCCTCATTTTTGCTCTTGATGGGCCTTTAGAAGACTTTGGGATCTCCTTGTATGTTAGCTGCCAATCTTTTCTCACAAGCCATATTTGCTTCTCTTACTTATTTTTGCACTTCTCTCTGAATCTTCTGTATTCCTCTTGGTTATATTTATATTTTCTACCTGACACGTGTCATCAGCATTCTTCTATTTAAACTTAATCTCTTTCCCACCCAGAGAGCTCTGTGTTTGTCTGCTGTACCTTTGCCTTCAGAGGGAGTGGACCTTGATAATTCCCGTCCATCTGTTCTTTGACAGTAGCCTATTGCTCAGTTCTCTCATCAACCTTTGCTTCCAATCTATCCAGCCCAGCACTGTTCTTGCACCATTGAAGTTAGCTCCCCACCAGTTGATTGGATTGACCGGTATCATTTTCCACGATCGTACTAAACCTTATGTTACAAAAATTGTTGTAATGTACCCCCACTGTCATTTTGATCTGCTTGGCCCACCTCATTCCCAACATCCAGGCCTAGCATTGCATGTTTCCCCCTTGGACTGGACACATACTGCTGTAGGAAACTCTTATGAATATAATCTAGGAGCACTTGTCTCTTCTTTCCCTTTACACTATCATTCTGTATTGAGGTCATTGAAGTCCCCCATTATAGTTGCACTGTGATATTTACATCTATTTGTAATTTCCTGAATTTTTTCTACATCTTTCCCACTAGTTGGTGATCTGTAGATTACACCAAGCAATGTAATTGCACTTTTTAAATTCCTTGGCTTAAACCAAATTGATTCCACCCTTGAACCCTCTGGGACATCCTCGTTTCTCCTTAACCAATACTGCCAACCCTCTTTTTCTTCCCTTTCTTATTTTAATCGAACAGTGTGTAACCAGGTATACCCAGCATTTCCTTGAGCCAGCACCATGTTATCGCCACAACATCATGTTTCTACAAGGCACTGTTCTTGTCTGGTTCCATTCATACCTCTCCTGTCATGGCCATTCAGCTTCTCTGCCTGTTCCTGTAACGTTACCTCCAGAATTGCCCAAGAATCAGGTTTCAGTCTCTTATTGTCTCTCGTCCAAATCAGCTTTCCAAACCCATCACCACTTTCATCCAGAAGGACAAGAGCAGCAGATACATGAGAACACCACATTGTGCAAAGTACCCTCCAAGACACTCACCATCCTGACTTGGAAATATAACACCATTCCTTCAGTGTCACCGGGTCAAAATCCTGGAATTCCCTCCCTAATGATATGATGGGTCAACCTACAGCATTTGGTCTGCAGTGGCTCAAGAAGGCAACTTATATAAACACTTAGAAAACAGAACAGGGGCTCAAATAGAGTCTATCTTTGTGGGAGGTAAAGTGATAGTTGAAGTTGGCAGTTTTGAGAGGAATACAGCATCGTTTTACAATTGTGCACTTAACTCAAGGCTAAACAAAGCACTTATGATGTAACTGCAGCCAGAATTATCTTCTGAATGATTTTATTCTTCCTTGTTCTAGGTGTCTGTGTGGAACCAGAGAGTCAGTGGGTGACTCAAGTTAACAGATTGCAGCAGCTGATTGACAGGTTGGAGTGCAAGGTACAAAGCTGCCATTCCTAGAATCATAGAATCCTTACCATCGGTTCCACACTGAGCATCCCACCCAGACATACCTCCCTACCCTATCCCTGTAACCCTGCATTTCCCATGGCTAACCCACCCAGCCTGCACATCCCTGACCAATTAAATGTCTCTTCGAAAGGAAGACAGTCGGATTGTTTTTCAGATTTGTGGGATCTCATGAGGTTCAAAGTGCTTTACAGTCAATGTTGGAACTACAGCAGCAATAAGCACACAGCAGGTTCCTAAAGACAGCAGCATGATATTCATAGAATCCTTAAAGTGCAGGTAGAGGCCAATTCAGTCCATCGAGTCTGTACCACGCTTCTGAAGAGCATCTCCCCAGCCTTTCCCTGCATTTCCCATGGCTGACCCACCTAACCTGCAAATCCCTGGTCACTACGGGGCAATTTAGCACACCCAATCCACCCTAACCTGCACATCTTTGGACTGTAGGAGGAAATCGGAGCACCCGGAGGGGACCTACACAGACACAGGGAGAATGTGCAAACTCACACAGTCACCCAAGGCTGGAATCAAACCCGGGTCCCCAGTGCTGTGAGGCAGCAGTGCTAACGACTGAGTCACCTTGTTAAGTCGGTTGTCACCTTCAGAACTAAATCTCAGGAGAATCACATGTGTCAGGGATCAATGTTATCCCCCACCATCTCAAAGGGTCACCCATGAGTCCTCTGTGAGCAGGGTCTGTGCAGATGCAGCCTGAAAGTTGACCAGAGATGGTCTTGGTGATGAAAAGACCACCTGACAGCCTTGGGTACCACAAACAGCCAAAACTGCCTTGCCTGATACTGTCTGTTAGCTTACAGCCAAGAATCACCTGAAATAGGGTTTGAACTTTTCCCCAAAATTACACTTGTCAATTTTTTTCTCTCTCTCTCAAAGGATGGGCCTGTTAATGGTGAAGGAATTGAAGGAAAACATATTACAGGGGTGTGTGCCTGGGGAGAGACCAGGAGTGTGGGACCACCTACAGGGACACTTGGGAATGGTGCGCCTGGTCTTCTACACCTCGAAATCGAGCTCAATTAAATTAATTTCCAAAGTAGTATTTCTCAGCATTGTGCTTTTTTCTCCCTCTCTGAGTAATTGGATTGTGCTTCAAACCAGGAGTGCAGATTGGCTCTTGATGTCTTGGACTTTTTTATGGAATAGAATCCCTACAGTGCAGAAGCAGGCCATTTGGCCCATCGACTCCACACCAACCCTCCAATGAGGATCGTACCCAGACCCACCCCCTACCCGGTAACCCTGCAACTCTAATTGGCTAATCCACCCAACTTGCATATCCCTGGATATTGAGGGGACAACTTAGTACTGCCAACCCACCTAACCTGCACATCTTTGGGCTGTGGGAAGGAAACCCACGCAGACACAAGGAGAATGTGCAAACGCCACACAGACCATCACCTGAGGATGGAATTGAAACCCAGATCCCTGGCGCTCTGAGGCAGCAATGCTAACCCCTGAGCCACAGTGCCGAACCCCTGAGTCAGCCCTGCTGCTGGGTTTTCTATCATTTTATTTTTATGAATCCAAGAGTCAGAGAAAGGAGGATAAATATAGTTACTCGAGGAAAGCACCGTGTAAGGAAAGAATAGTTTGACGAGAGGTCACTTTTCAGAGCTTTGTATTCAAGGACAATGAGCATTTATTTTATGTTCCATTGTTTTGATTAAATGTTACAACACCGCATGTACTTAAAGTGACTCATCATTCAAATGAATTGCTATGTATCGGCTGTTTTCTCAGATATCTAAGGGGCAACTGAGGGGGTAACTGTTGAGGTGGTTACAGTGATATAAGATAAGGTGGATGAAGAGAATTTATTTCCCATTTTGTTGGTGGAGAAGTGGGCTGCCCTAGGACAAGTGGTCCTAATTTTAGGATGAGCTTGTTTAGCAATAAAGTCAGGGAGTAGAGGGGGGAATCTGGAACCTGCTTCTGCAAAAGGAAGTGGTTGCTGAATCAATGGAACCTTTCAAGTCTGAGATAGAAACTGTTTTGTTCGGTGAGGGTATTAAGGGATTCGGAGCTCAGACAAACCAGTGGGATTGAATTACAGAGTAACCGTGATCTAATGACATGTTGCTGAAACAGTTTCAAAGCGGGGGTGGGTCTGAATGGATGATTTCTGATCATTCACAACCAGGGGGCACATTTTTAAGGCGAGAAGAGAAAGATTTAAAATGGGCATGAGGGGCAACTATTTTACACAGAGTGTGGTTCATGTGTGGAATGAACTGCCAGAGAAAGTGGGGCATTCAGGTACAGTAACATTTAAAAGACATTTGGATAAGTTCATGAATAGGAAAGGTTTGGAAGGATATGGGCCAAGCGCAGGCAGATGGGACTAGTTTAGGATTATGATCGGCATGAACTGGTTGGACAGAAGGGTCTGTTTCTGTGCTGTATGAATCTATATGCTGTAGGCTATTCTCCAATCAATCTGCTCAAAGATGTTATGGAAGAGGTGGGAATGAACTCGGGCCTCCTGGTTCAGAGGTGGAGTCACCCCCACTACATCACAAGAGCCCTTGATCCAAACTCTAGGCTTGGAATTAACCTGATTTCCCATCGAGGGGGTTGGGGGCGGGGGGAGCTGCGGTGGCCTGGGGGTATTATTGCTGGACCTGTTAATCCAGAGACCCTGGTAATGTTCTGGGGACCTGGGTTTGAAACCCACCATGACAGATAGTGGAATTTGAATTCAGTTAAAACCTGTAATTAAGAGTCTAATGATAACCACGAAACCATTGCTGAGTGTTGGGGAAAAGCCCATCTGGATCACTAATTTCCTATAGAGAAGGGGACTGCTATCCTTACCTGGTCTGGACTACATGACTCCAGATCCACAACAGTGTGGTTAACTCTTAACTGCCCTGTAGGATGGGCAATGAATGCTGGCCTAACCAGTGATGCCTTCATCCTGTGAATGAATTTTTTAAAAATTAATTGATCATTTGTAGGCAGGAAGAAGGAATGGGTAACAGAGGTATAGCCTGTAAACAAATGTGATGAATCTAATGATTATGATTGAATGCCAAAGTTCATTTGGCAGCTGTTATTGGTGTTTGATGCTGTTCAAATTAGACAGCACTCCATTCTCTCACCAGGTTGAGTATAAAAGTTTGCTGGGCCTTACACTAACAAACAAATCCTTTTTTCATTATGTCTACTGTAGACTCCCAGACTGGAGCCCTTAAAGGAAGAAGTAATTGAGGAAGCCGCTAATTCTGTAAGTCTAGAGCGAAAGCAGCTGACTCCAGGCAGCTCGTTTCATAGAGTCGGTGATGTAATCTGACAGAAAGTTCCGGTAATACGTCAACATGTAAAGGCCAACCTGCCCCTTGAACTGAACCAAACATATGGAATTCACAGAGAGGCAACTCCTTGTGGAGTTATAGGAAGGCACTAGATTTAGTCAAATATTGAAGTGCAGCATGAATGTGGCAGTTATGAAGATTGAAGTCTCCCAAGCTATTACCAGCAGGTACCCATAAAGCTCAGACATGGCACACCATAATTTTGGAACACATATCTTCCATTTGATTTATTAGAATAGAATCCCTACAGTGTGGAACCAGGACCTTCGGCCCAACAAGTCCACACTGACCCTCACGGCATCCCACCCAGACCCATCCCCTTATAACCCACCTAATCTACACATCCCTGAACACTATGGGGCAAGTTAGCACGATCAATCCACCTAACCTGCACATCTTTGGACTGTGGTAGGAAACCGGAGCACCCGGAGGAAACCTACGCAGACACGGGGGGAATGTGCAAACTCCACATAGACAGTCGCCTGAGGTTGGAATCAAACCCAGGTCCCTGGTGCTGTGAGGCTGCATTCTCATGTGTATTTATTACAAATACAGTGGAAAGTGTTGTTTAGTGTTGCTACTCTCTAGCACCACCTTAAAACACAGAAACTAAACCAAAACACAGAATATAAAGTCAGAAAAAATAAAACAATAAAGTTCACCTCATGGTCTTATCTCAATAAAGTTAGGTGGTTGCTGATCAAAAACTGGTCAAGTTGGTGTTCAGGAATGGTACTGGGGATGAGGGAATGTAGCTACAAGATTTTTCTTTGATCATTTGTGGAAAATGGCATTTGTTGGCTGGACCAGCATTTATTGCCTGTCCCTAGCTGCCCCTTCAAGAGGTGGTGAGCTGCCCTCATGAACTGCTGTGGTCTATTGGCCTAGGTACTGTTTGGGAGGGAGTTCCAAGATTTTGACCCAATGACACTGAAGGAACTGCGATATGTTTCCAAGAGGGTTGTAAAAGCTGGGGCTTTTCCCAGGAACAGATGAGATTTATTCAAGATGAATAAGATTGTGACAGATTTGGATAAAGCAGACAAGAAATAACTGTTTCCATTGGCTGGTGGTATGGATTTTGGGGGACTATATATTTAATGTTTTGGTCAAGAGATACAGGGGATATAGACTCCCTACAGTGTGGAAGCAGGCCATTCAGCTCATCAAGTGCACACTGACCCTCCAAAGAGCATCCCACCTAGACGTACCCCCTTTACCCTATCCCTGTAACCCACATTTACCATGGCTAACCCACTCAGCCTGCACATCTCTGGACAATCTGGGGCAATTTAACATGGCTAATCCACCCTAACTTGCACATCTTTGCACTGTGGGCGGAAGCTGGAGCACCCGGAGAAAACCCACACAGACACAGGAAGAATGTGCAAACTTCACACAGTCGCCTGAGGCTGGAATCAAACCTGGGTCTCTGGTGCTGTGAGGCAGCAGTGCTAACCACTGAGCCACCGTGCGATAATGAACTTTTTTTAGCTGGCTAGATTGCAGAAGCTGGGATTCTTCTCTTTAAAGAATGGAAGATTCAGAGAAGATTTGCTTGGGATTTTCAAAACAATAAGGGGGTCTGGACAGTGGAGATAGTAAGAAACTGTTCCCATTGGCGGATAGTTCCAGAACCAGAGGACATTGATGTGAGACGAATGACTGAAGTTAGTGTGACGTGAGGAAAATCTTTGTCATGTAGCAAGTGTTTAGGAAATGGAATGCACTGTCTGAGCATTTGGTGGAGGCAGGTACATCCAGGGCTTTCAAAGGGGAATTAGATCATTATCTGAAGAGAAAATAGTAGCAGGATTATGGGGAAAAGGCAGGGAGTGGGACTAACTGAGTTGCTCTTCGAGAGGGCCAACACAGATATGCTGGAGTGAATGGCCTCCTTCTGTGCTGTAGCCATCCTCTGATTCCATAAGTGTGATTTGAAGCTGTTTAAAAAAAAGCAGATATGAATTTTGTTAGACTGCAAGGTGTAATTACAGCATAGCAACGATATTCACAGCAGGAGTTAGTTAGGATGTTGTGTTGCAGGATTCTGATTAAAGCCCTGGTGTGCATGAAATGATTATCAGCTCGTCTGGTATTTTATTCACAATGTCATTGACAATCGTAAAACATGAGTCGAAACCTCAGTGCAGGTGGGAAATCTTTTTAAGTGTGATGGAATTGTAGGGTACAGATAATTGGACCTGCTCAGCAGAGTGTTCATCCGCCAGTTTAAACTCGTTCATTCTGGGCTTAGGTTTCTGGGTAAAAATCAGGAAATTGAGCTGAAAATGCACAGGTTAAGTTGCAGTTCAGGTTTCTGAAAATATTCATTTGCGTCATCACAAAATCTTTATGACCCAATGTGATGGAGCAGTGTTATAGAATGCAATTGTATCATTTTCCTCTTTCTATTAAAAAAATTAATTCTTATAAAATAAAAGAAAAATACTGCAGACGATGGAATTCTGAAACAAACACAGAGAAGCCTGGAGAACCTCGACAGGTTTGGCAGCATCGGTGGCACAAGAAATAGACTTAATGTTTTGAGTCCACTACGACTCATGTTAGCATGAGAATAGGGTGGTTTATTGAAACTAAAGAGTATTTCTTGATATACTGAAGACTGGTGCTGTTTTATTACTACAGCTGAATATGGGTTTGTTATC